AACAGAAATCTTGCAGGTTCTTGGTTAATATTTATTTTAGAATCAACAAGAAGGGGAAAAATAAGGAAAATAAAAACTACGATCTCAAACTGTTACAAATTTGTTTTGATAAAATGTGGTGTGCTGCAGTCAAATTATATAGAAGACTCTCAGAATACTTAATCCGTTAACAAATTAGCTTTAGACAAATGGATCTAATTTGAAATTGTCTGACAGCTTCTGTTCCAGTCCAGTAGTGTCAGGACCCCACTGTGGGTCATGAAACTCCAAGTAAAAGGGTGGTGGAAGGTCTTGGACAAAGAAATTAAAATTGTTACCAATAAAATAAAAACATTATAGTCAAAATAATATATTGATGATCAAGAATGTATGTTTTTTTGTCATTATGTCCTCATTTAATTGGTTTATTAGTAACGTTTGCATACCTCAATTGGCAGTTTGTTATAAGTTTGTGTTACTTTTTTGTGAATTAGAAGCTGAAAGGTTTGTGGACCACTGTCATGGTCCAAAAAAGACATTCTACCAGTGGCTCAAGAACACTAGTTGTAAAGACAGTTGCAGACAAACACCATAACTAAGCAGCTGGAAGTTGTACAGAATCAGGATGAAACATCCAAAATTGAAACTGGACAACTTTCAAAGTAATTAAAAAATGACAAGGCCGACAATTGATGATACCTCAAGTTTACCTGGTGTTCCAGTGTGTGTGTATGGAGTAATATGGTATGTGGGAGTGCAAGGTACCCACAAATTTCCTTCCATCCATCCATCCATCCATCCATCCATCCATCCATCATCCATGACAGTGGCGAGAGGAGGTAGGGGTTTATCCTGTAATCGGTGTGTTGACGGTTATAACCCCACTCCATTCATCTCAGCCGTTATGTCCTTGGCCAGGACACGTTACCCGCCTTGCCTGGCGGTGGTGGTCAGAAGGCCCAGTGGTGCTGGTGAATGGCAGCCTCACCTCTCAGTCTGAGCAGGTATCAAGTCCTAATAGTTTATAAAAAGTGATCATATATGTGTAAATCCCTTTAAGTTGATCTTATTGACATCAATATGGGGCAAGGGGGGGGGGTTAAACAAATATTAAGGCTTAAATTGGACTAAATGTGGCCTAAAGAGCTCAACACACAGGGATCGACAAACTACAGCGATTAATGACTGTCATCGCAGCCAGGGTGAAACCTGACACACGGGACGCAATAGCGATCGCAGCGTTGCGAATCGCACTCTCAGGTCGCTTGTCTTCATGAAATTTGAAGGGGTGTGTGCATTACGGACGTGTAAACTAAACAAATCTAGCAATGCTAATGATATTGAAAAACAAACACACATCAAAATACAATTTTATGAGGAAAAACTTACCATAAACTTCACCCTGGTGCCAATAAATTCCCACAAAGCTTTTTAGTAATCACTTGATGAAAGTGTTAGCTAACTGCAGTGTGTAGCATACTCTCCTCTCATTGGTCAGTCAATGAAACCCTCGCTGATTGGTTGTACGCTAAGCGACAGCGACAAAAGTTGAACATTTTTCAACTTTCATATGTCACGTCGCAAGCTCTCGTGTGCACGTCTACATGTACGAGCGTGAAATTTCACATGCACTATTTTCGCCGGTCGCTTAGCTGAAGGAGGGCAAGCTATTGTCGCCTCACCGCACAGGCTCCATAGGAAATGAATGGAGAGCGAGCGACGTCGCCTCCCGTGTGTCGAGCCCTTAAAAGTAAACATTCTGTAAATATCTAGTCCTTGTTTTATATTCAAATAATTATTTGCATTTAAAAAAAAGAACCTCAGCAGAATTGTAACCCTGGTCTCCCACTTGAAAGACCATTGACATATCTGTTATATTACACCATCAGGTGCCCCTCATTGTGAAATGGCACTTTTATTATTCAAAAAACAATACTGCTCTTATAGTGGATAGCAGGATATGGTACAGCCTTACTGGTTGTGGCGCACGAACATCAATAAGAAGGAATATGAAAAGCTCAAAGGCTGAAGGAGGGAATAGAAAGGTTGTGGAAAGTTTACACCACAGTGGTTTTAAAGGGTCATCGAAGCAGTGTGTGGTGGTACTCCCCACCCGCCCCCAACTTGAGAGAACAGATGCAAGATAAACAACAATGAACCTTCTATGTTTTTATTTTGTTTGACAAACGATGATGCTCCCGCACACTGACATTACGCTGCACGCAGCACATGACTTCAGATCTGATCCGGCTCGTCCAGCAGTCGGAAGCGGAAGAAGCAACAGATGGAAGACGAGTGCAGCGAGAGAGCAGAGTGGGGGTGGGCTGGTGCAACTGTGCTGTCTGGGATTCCAGCAGGATTAGACAGGAAGTCATGACTTTATTTGTGGTGCTTAAGGAGTAAAGCTGGAGAAAAGACCAGAAAGTGACGTTACCGCACTGTCTTCGTAGAACATGTGGACACACACAAATGAAAACCACAGTTTCTTCAGCGCACGTGTACAAACGCCCGATTATCCCAAGCTTCTCTAAATGGAAGTCAGTCTAATATTGTATGACTTAGTGCACTGTGTGTGTGGATGAGAAGGTTAGCAGGACAAAGAGTTTCTTGTACTTTGGGGAGGGGTAGCAGGGCCTGTTGGGTCCGATCCTGGGGAGGAGGGGGTTAGGGATGGGAATTTTCTGTGTGTGTGAGCAGAGGAATGCTGGTGTTTGCTGAGTGAGGAGCACAGAGGCAGCGGAGACTGTCCAAACACACGTCTGTTTGCTGAGAGTGTGTGTCTTAGAGTGTGTGAGCCAGAGGGAAAGAGTGCTATGGTCGGTGATGGAAAGAGGTTTAGGGGAACTGTGCCCCCCCCTCTGTGACCTTCTTCTCAATGAGCACTTTCATATCCAGTCCTGATCTCCTCGGTTTGGCAGCAGACGGCTCTGAAAGGAGCCTGTCTATCTACCTGTGACCTACGCTACACACACTGGCAGTGCACACTGCAGACTTTGCTCAGGTTGTGTGTGGAGGTGCTCGTGTTTACTGTACCTGTTTGTTTGGCGGTGGGTGAGAGGTCCCGTGGTGTACAGGAAGGTGTTAGAGAGAAAGGTGAAAACAGAGGATGAGCATCAGCGACGGGACGATGGAAAAGATGAATTTGGGAGGAATGAAGTAAGCAAACCGTAGTGAAGGATGTGAGTAATGGCTGAATTAGGAGAGGTATGATTTCGGCAGGAAAGATGAAAAATGGAAAGGAACACTTGAGGCGTTGAATCAGAGCAGAAGAATGAAGGTGTTGTGGGGGAGGAAATATCAGCAAATGGGAACGTGTCAGTCGGTTTACCCTAAAATTATTTTTTAAAAGCCTCTTAGTCATGCCACAAAACATGAGGGTAATTGTTTTCCTTTGTATGGCCAGTTTGACCTTTTAAAGTAGATCAGAGAAAAAAAACAGCCTGCTGTCATTTAGCACATGTCAACACGGACAGAAAATATGTGTTTTCATTCTTGCATGTGTGTTTGCAGTTAGTGAGGCTTGTGCTGTGATTTATTCTAAGGCCAGGTCCACTTCCAGCTGTCCCGATGGAGTCCCAATGACTTTACCAGCCGCAGACCTCCATCACATCACAACAGTGGAGGAGAGGCATGGAGAGCTTTTGGAAAAGGAGATATGGACAGTGGAAAAGTCAACGTCATTTTTAGTCTGCTAATTCTATTTAGTTTTTTATTTTTTATTTTTATTTTTTCATCCTTTAGAGCAGGGAATTTTATTTTGGCAGTTGTTATCTTTTTAACTTAAACTTATCATTTTTGAATGGATTGCTGTCTTATGCAGTTTGCTTGACAATAACATGAGTTCATAAAATTAAAGCGAAACATCTGCATTAGGGCTGCAACGATTAGTCGATGACTAATCGATTATTAAAATAATCGATGACTAATTTAATAATCGATTGATCGTTTTCTTTCTTTTTTGTTCTTTACTTTGTTTTTCTCTCCAAACTGCTTTGACACCTTCCACTGCCACATCTGCCTTTCTGTCCTTGACACACATGCACAGTAGTGGTAACTGGGGTAGGCCGTGGACGTCACAAGACATTATACAGACAGGCTCTGGTATCATGGCTACCTGACAACGGAGCTCAAAGTGTGGGATCATTTTAAGAAAATGAAAGAGAAACCTGTACAATATCTGCAGAGCAGAACTTGTCTTCCACAGCAATTATTTTTAGTTAGCATATAGCTAAAATCTAACGATGGTTATATAATAGCAGCTGCATTCTGGAGCGATAAGCTGTGTGTTTTATATTCAATTAACATATGATCCGATTAGTCGACTAATCGAAAAAATAATCTGTGATTAATCGATTATAAAAATAATCGTTTGTGGCAGCCCTAGGGTCAAACAATGTTTTAGTCAAACAGAACCAACAAGAATGAAACAAAAAGTAAAGAATTAGAGAAAAAAATAAATGTTAAATGTAAATAAATTCTAATTATAATAAATTAATAATAATTTTACATCTAAAAATCATATTTTATTATTTTAATCTATTTTCCTCAATGAATTATTATTATTATTATTAAATTTCTGTTATGTTTCATGTAGGAGAAATACACATTTTTTTCAGTCAGTATTTAATACAGCTGGCAAAATAAATTGTTAAAATATGTATTATGTGCATCTGTTTTTTAATTCAGGAGATTATAAAAAAAAATCCATTTCATGGGAAGACCCTCTTGATTCAAGAGAAAACTCAGTTTTTAAAAAAAATGGCTGCTTATTAATTAATTGTTATCAATCTATAAGATAAATCAACTTCAGATTAATTCATTATGAATAACTTGCATCCTTAAGGAGTTAACTTAATTTATATCTACTCATATTCATGTAATTAAGCGTTTTAATGATTTGGCCGATTAATCAATTAATCGAAAAAATAATCAACAGATTAATCGATTATTAAAATAATTATTAGTTGCAGCCCTAATCTGCATCGCTTCATTAACAAATAATATTTTCTCTTCTCTCACAGGTCCTGCTGAAGTTCCCATGATGTCCCCAAACGGATCAATCCCACCAATTCACGTACCACCAGGATACATTTCCCAGGTTTGTCTATGTCTTTATGATTTTTTTGACTTTGATAGACCTTAGTAAACTGTGGTATAGCTCTTTTATGTAGCCCTGGTGGTTTTCTTTGATGACTCTAGAAAAGGTGTACATGATTTAGTCCTCTAAGACCACTTTATTTCTCCTCTGGCATTGGAATAGAAGCGTTGTGTCATCTTTTGTCTGAAACACTTCATTTGGCTTCTCTCTAACAAAGCCCCAACAGCCTAGTCAGATAATTTGTCAGGAAAAAAAACAAAAAAACATTGGAGAAGTGCAAGATACCTGGTCACTCCGTTCGCGGGGAGTCAAAGTAACCTCTGATAAAAAGGTGTTCAAATGTGCTTCATGGTAATATATTAAAAGAAATAAAGAGAAGCTTGAATCGCAACCCAATAAGGTCAGGAGGAGTAGCTTCTGTGGGATAAAGGCTGAATCATATTTCCCATTGTTACCCGTATTCTTATCCAGGGATCTCAGACTACTTGCAAATGTTATCCTTAATATGTTGTTTTTCTATATTCTACTAAAAGTTGTTGTTTGTGACACAGAAAACTCCTAATTACTGAAAAAAGTCTCTGTTTATTACATTTCTCGTTTAGGCGTGCTGCCATTTTTTATTGACACATGATGATGATGATGGTTGCAGTTGAGACTAAAACACATGGGTGTGTCCAAAATCAGAGTCTGCATCCTTCAAATGACCCAAATAACAAAATTTTCTTAGAGGCAATGGGACTCATGCAAGAACCGTTTGTACGCACAGATTTGTTCTTAAGTTGTGCGTACGAGTGATTTAGGAGAATTTGTGGCATTCACCAATGTTTTCATATTCTAAGATTTTTTTCAGATACGAACAAAATTCACGAGTGGTCCAGACCTGTCGTATATTTTACGAGCAGTCAGTCTGCTGTTATCCAGACGTGTGCAACGCTGTGGCTTCTGAATAAATGAAAATGATTTAACACAGTTGTTTATACTTTAGCAGCTCTTTTTATTCCACAGCTGACCTGCTAAAAAAGTGACAGATTTTCTTTTCTGGATCTCTGACAGACGGACTTCAATCTCTGAACTTGTAAAGTTCTTTTTAGTTTTCACTGTCATTTTCATGAATGGACACTTCCTTGTATCTGAGGCAGGAAACACAGCCTTATATGGTGTTTTTGGGGTGGTAATTATGCTAATCTCCTCTCGCGTGCACGAGCAGCTGGATACAAACAGGTGGAATTTATGCAGCTCATTTACACACTTTTCCTGAAGATAGAAGAGTTTGTTGAATCTGACGTGACATGTTCGTACGAACCCTTTATACGAACAAAAGTAAGAGAAATTTAGGATAAGAATACGAACATGTTCTTGCATGAGGCCCATTATTTGAAGAACTAAGGGACACTGCCATATGCACACGGTTATTTCGCCATAGCAGCTCTTTTGATTTCTGACAAGAACAATATTTAAAAAACATGTCTATGCAAAATGACAAAACAGTAACGACAACTGCTTGAAACTTTCTATTTTTATTCTGCCACATTTTTATTTAAAACTGTATTCCTTTCTCTCACTTAGTCCGCCATTACAAACAAACAGACAAACAAAAAAATCTTTGGTGGTCGTGGAATAGGGTGGGCCAAGAAAGATCCATTTGACCAGTCCTTCAAATCGGGGCAAAAGAAGGATGTAATTTTGTGGGTCGCATTGGAGGAGTCTTTGAATTTGGAACATCCTCTGGTTTGGCACAGTGTCACAGGCAGCCGATATATTAGTTTATACATATGATTTGTTAGCTCTGAAGCTAACACTATTTATATTAGCTTGGGAGCTAACACTTTTACACAAATATGTTGTTCTTGACATACTGGTTTATAATACTGAAAAAAAAAACAATAAAGCAATGTGCCCTTATTTTAATAGCCTTTAGCCTAGCCTGACCAAAGGTTCCTGCCTTTTTCTTTATACTCGGTGCTCCATTGCGGGATGTCATGGTTGATGAGGTACTAATAATAAATAACTATTATAAAGAACATAACTAAACACAGACCTGACTAACCCTTTAAAGAATGAAAAGTATTGATAAAGGAAAAAGTAGAGTTTGTTTCGCACTAATGGTTTGTCATGGGGATACTATCACAGAGGTACTACCACATCAAGTTTTAATTAAATAGTTTTTATTTATTTAGTCAGTGATAGACGTGAATCCAGTAGGGCTGGGTATCATGGCCAATTCCCTAAATCAATTCGATTTTGATTCATAAGGTCTGATTTGATTAATCACAATACAATTCAATTTGATCTGCTCTTCAATAATGAAAATGGTTCAACTATTGCAAGACACAAATTCACTTTATTTTTTCTCTTCACCATAAGTTTTAAGGGCAAACTAGTAAATTAGACAGTCAAATCTAAAAAAAAAACTATCTCAAGTTTCAAAGGTTTTAAACTAAAAGGGAATTGCAAAGTGACAGTGTTGTTGGATACATTAATTTTTAAGAAATTAAGAATATTTTTCATGAGGAATAAGAAGTGATGGGAATAAGGCTGCAGGAGAAGGGGTGGGCTAATATAAGCAGAGTTGTAAAGTAACTAAGTACAAATACTTTGTTACTGTACTTAAGTAGAATTTTTGGGTATCTGTACTTTACTTGAGTAATTATTTTTCAGCGTACTTTTTACTTTTATTCATTACGTTTTTACACAATTATCTGTACTTTCTACTCACTACATTTTTTTAAAAAGGTAAGAAGTAGAAAATCGTTACTCCTATTTTATTCCGAGTTATTACTTAAAAAAATACTATCCTGATAAATTGTGTCTCCTGGATAGAGTGGTTGAATGAGAAGTATAAATATATACCATTCTGACACCCTATTAGCTTGTTTGTACACAACCCATCACAGCTGCACGCTGTTAGAAAAATATTTTTTTGAGAAGTCACCTCCCAATAAATGTCCTCTTGGAAAATCTAACTGCTCACTTTTACTCAGTACTTTTACTTTTAATACTTAAGTAGATTTTGTGTCAGAAATTTACTTTTGATACTTAAGTACAAAAAATATCAGATACTTTAAGACTTTTACTCAAGGAATATTTTTAGAGAAGACTTTAACTTTTACCAAAGCATTTGTTTGATAAGATACTTGTAC